GCCTCATGCTGCATCCAGATCTGGACGGTGGCCTGAAAGTGACACCTCTAAACAGGCAAGAAAGAATGTTGTCCATGTAGCTAAGTGAACCAGCAGTGGAGCAATGGTTGTGAGGGTGAGGGCTGGGCTGTAGAGCAGGCCTCGCTTTCACCATCTGGCAGCGCAGAGACAATGTCTAGGAAAGAGACCGCTGCCAGGCCTCAATTACTGGGGGGAATAATCCAGGACACACTGAAGCAATTAGAGCCCCATATAAATCAATATGCTTTGGGTTAAAAAGTGATCTGCTCCCAACACTCTGGAGAGGCTCCTGCATGATTTTTTTTCTCAGAGACAGGAGCTTTTTTTCTTTTAAAAACCAAGGGGATGATGCAGCTGTTGCGGTTTTGACCGTCACTCAGGCTGCATCAACGGTCAGGTGAAAAAGGGCTGTGAGGAAGAGAAGCAGGATAAATATTGACTCTCAGTTACTGGGCCTGTGTAAACAGTTGTGAAACCGATGTTGCATAAAAGCATAAGCTTCATAAACAAACAAGACTGCCTGCAGAACAAATGTCTTAATACGCATTACCTTCATGGCTTACTGAGAATGGGTATTAAGGTTTCAAGTGAAGCAAAAAAATGGATTATTTATGTATCAGGATGCTTCACTACAAACCTTAGATTAATAGCATGTTACTGCCATCTAGTGGCTTAGGGGGAGAACTACAGGTGAGTTTTTGTTTTCATTTGTTTTTGCTGCCAGCCTTTACTCTGACACATTCAGGATGCCAAAATGCCTTATAAAGGCGAACAAGTAAAATGTCCATGTATGTTCTTTAGTTTTTGCATTTTATCTTTGCTTTCCATTTGAAAATATATAAAAATATTGTTGAAAAAAAAATCTAGTTTTGTGTTTTTTAAGGGAAAAAACTTAACCGGTAAACTAAGCAGCATTTATGCTTCATCTCGACAAGATCTCCCCTTTTTAACAACCAGTATTTTGATTGTCTTACTGAATCTCTACTAATTTAAAAGCAAGATACATCTTATTCTGCCGATAGCTTAAAAATCAGCTTGAAATCTGCAAATAAGAAAAAGTAGAAAAAACAAAATAAAAAGGTTTGTACTTACAAAATCCTTATAAGTGCAAACATACTTGGCAATAAACATGATTCACTAAACAACCATTATTGAGGTAGGCAGATTATTACTTTACCCTTGAATACCCAGAATATTGCAAAAAAAAACACACAAAAAAAAACAAAAAAAAAAAACAGTAAAAATAAATGTGAGGTTAAAATATAATAATAAGGCATAGAAACCCCAAATATGAAGGACATCAGTCAACAAAAAGCATCATAAAGACAAGGAAGTTAAACTAGTAAAAAAGAAAGTAGGAGAACTTTGCAACAAGCCATGCAGGGGAAATGACACTAAAACTGAGTTTTTAAAAGCTGCAAAAAACCCAGACATGTTCCAGCAACATGATGCTACTCACCCAGAGCTTAAACAGAAATGTTAACATTAAAGGATACTAAATGACTTTGTCCAGGGACTTCCGACTTCGGGCCTCGAGATCTACGACCTTCAACTTTTAGGTTCATCACTGCTCCAGCAAAACTGAATCAAATGACTGGTTTGTTTCAGAGGCCTTTTCTAAATTTGATGATGGGCTGAATAATCATTCACCACAGCTGTGATGAAGCAGGGATAGACGTAAACATTGAAGGGCAGTAGAACTTGGGTTATGTTCACACTGCCGGTTCTAATGCTCAAATCCAATTCTTATTTTTTCTGGGTTTCTTTTAAAATATGGTCTGTATCTGACTTCACTATGGTCTGTATGGACAGCTTTTCAGTTACAATGCAAACTATTTCCCATATCCTGCTTCCTATAAACCTTTCAATTAGACCTGGTTAAAGTTTTAACTGTTTATCAGCTTTATTAAGATCTCTCCACAGTGTATCCCTGCAGGAGGCAGTATATTCTTCAACTAGTTAAGATCCACTTTTTTTTTTTTTTTTTTTTACAGTTTATGTTACTGTTTTTGCTACTTTATTAAATTTCTGCTTATTTTTTCCAATTTTGGTTTGAATTCTGCTCTTTCCTGAAAGGCATTAAACTTTTCTGCGTGCAGTTAAATCATAACATGTCTGCGATGTTTCTGCTGTTTGGCTTCAGCTACTTTTAAGAAACTAATTAGACATTGTTGTTTTTTGCCATTCCATACCATTTCAGCAGCTTTGCCTTTAAATTTCTGCTTGTTTCTGCCACTTTCACCTTACAGCTTAGCATACAGGATTCACACTGCATTTTCGCAGGAAATGCAAATTTTTCTAGTTTTTTCTCTTGGTTTACACAGGTAAGAAAATTTACCAAAGGGATAAGTTTATTTATTCTTAAAGTGTGAAAAAACCCCATCAAAATCTTGAATGCATAATATCCATTAATCTTGTGGGCAAAAATACACATTGGTAGCTCATCTTATATTGAGTAAAAATGCACATTTTCTGGAACATTTTACTTATTCTTAAATCAGTTTTTGTAGTGCTACTATCCCAGTTTCTATTTTGCCAACCAATGCAGTTTCCTGCTAGGTGGTACGAAATTTATGAAAATTGACGCTTAAGTCACATCTAATCCACATTGGTCATTCACACTGGAATTGCATTCCAAAAGATCTGATACCAGTCAGATTCAGGACCACATATGCAGTGCCTTGTGAAGTATTTAATTCTTCAAATCTATAAAATTGTATTTTTCTGTGAAGAATCGACCAATTAAATTTATTGTATAAACTTTTTCAATATATAAAAAAACGTGCTAGCGATAATATTGAAATGGATGGAGTATAAGACCACTGCGTGTCTACAAAGACCCGGCCCTCCCTCCAAACTTTCAGACTGATCAGAGATGCAGCCAGGAGGCCCATGATCACTCTGGATCAGGGGAGCTCAAGTCCAGTCCTGCAGGGTTACTATCCTGCAACTTTTTGATGCACCCCATTTTTAACACACCTGAATTAAATGAGTACGGTAGTTCGTTACCATGCCTCTGCTGGGCTAAATGAGGGGATTGAGCCTTTTGATCCAGGTGTGTTAGAGAACAGATGCATCTAAAAGTTACAGGACGGTAGCTCTGGAGGACTGGACTTGAGCCCTCCTGCTCTGGATGAACTGCAGAGATCTACAGCTGAGGTGGGAGCCTCTGTCCACAGGACAACAATCAGTCATATACTGCAGAAATAAAGATCTCCTAAAGTATTGTTTAAAGTTTGCCACAAGCCACCTGGGAGAGACACCAAACATGTGGGAGATTTATCTTCCAACGAGACAACGATCAAAAACATAAAGCTTAATCTTTAATGGGATGGGTCACAAATAAACCTATCCAGGTGTTAGAATGGCTAAGTCAAAGTCCAGACCCAATCCAGCCAAGAATCTATGGAAAGAACTGAAAAAGCTCTCCATACAACCTCACTGAGCTCCAGCTGGTTTGCAAAGAAGAACTGGCAAAGATTTCAGGCTCTAGATGTGCAAAACTGATAGAGACGAACCCCATGGGACCCGCAGCTGTAAGTAAGGTGGCGCTACAAAGTATTAACTTAAGAGGGCTGAA